CTTACTAAGTAGAATTCGCCTTTCTGTGTTGTCGGAAAAGGGGACCGGAAGTATTTTGGCGCAGAACTTCTCTCTGCGTAGGCGGCCTTCGGCCGCGCTTAGGGATTATAACCATTACTAAGTAGAAGTAAATAATTCCTATTAGCAAAAAACCAAATTATCCATATGCACACTTTCGTTAGAAAACCGAAATAATGCATATAACAAAATCCGAAATAATGCATATGAGAAAATACCGAAATTATGCATATGCCTACTTTCGTTCTAAAAGCGAAATAATGCATATGAATAAAACCGAAATAAAGCATACATGCACAGTTTCGGTTGAAAACGAAATAATGTCTAAATGCACAGTTTCCATATGCGCAATTTCGGTGCCCCTAAAATTTCTCCATTTTTTTTTGGCAAGAAAAATATTTTATAAAACTTTTTTGGAAAAATAATTTAAGTACACTTTACTTTGTTATGTAATGCTTGGAAATCTATACATAGTATTAAGGAAAGTCGAGCTTCCTTGTACACGGTAATTTCGAAAACTACTGATCGGATTTTGACGTGCTTTTCTCTAATATATTTTGTATCGATAGGAGAGTGACCTTTTTAATTTAGAATTTTAATAGGGTTGCCACCTGTTAAGAAAATTACTATATACAATTCTAATAAGCTCAGGCGTCAGTTCTGCACCGTCACTGTCAAATGAAAAGACTTACAGCCAGTTTCACCAAACTATTTAAGTGGAAATTAACTTTAATTTAATTTTGTATTTAAATTAATTTAATATTAAAATTTCTCATTTAAATAATTTTCAGTTTCAATAAACTATTTATTTAAGTGAGTAAAAAGTGGTTGTAAAACAGACTAGGCCAGCGAAAGCATTCATTTGTACTGAGAGCTTTTGAAAGTTTTGGCACGCTGTGTTGTAAAAGCAGGGCTGGTATACAAGTAAGCAGCAGATACGCAATGATCAGGTGATTAAACGTGTAACACCTCTGAGTGTGGTTATTCTGATTTAATTTTTATTTAAGTGAAGAGCATAGGTCACTTAAATCAAAATTAAAATTGATTGGTGAAACCAAAAATTCGAAAATTAAAGGATGCTTTCCATTTCCAGACAACCGGTCAGGTACGAGCATGATTTTTAATTTCGACCAAACTCAAATACATTGTTTGTTGGTCCAAATAATGAGACACGTATTTTTTCTTTTGGCTCGGAAAAATTTTTCGGCCGAATTAAGCGCGATTTTGTTTTTCAGCTAAAAATCGATTATTCGAATTGCCAGTGAGAATGTTTTTTTAAAATGCCCATAAGAATGATATAATTATTGATTTTCATTATTTAAAATTTTTTATTTAACAATAAACAAAAGGTGCAATTTTTTTTTTTTTTAATTTCTCAAAAAGCGTATTTTTTTTCTCTCAAACTTTTTTATCTGGAAAGAGACACTTTGAACTACAATCAACCCAAATCTCTAATATCGAAGATTTTTTTTTCTGAGTTATGATTTTTTATAGAAAATATACGTTTTTGTGGTACATACTACAATATTCTTATATTGTTTAACTAAATGGAACATATGTATGTAATATATCAGCAAAAAGTACAGCCGTGATCATTTTTTGTGTATCAAATAGATATTAGAACACACTTTCCACCATACAGTTTCGAAATACAAAATCACATTTTTCCGCTTTTTATAATCATACATGATGACATATGATTTCTTTCTCCAAATACGTAAATGTACATTAATATGCATACAAGAATGATAGAATACAAGATTGCGCCGATTGCAGCAGAATTCGTGAGAGTGATTTTGGCGTGACGTCACCGTAGAGTTGACAACTGAGAGCAGCAAATAAAACTGCTGTCTAGTGATGTGCTGAATTGTCGGTACGCAATACTTAAAAAAGGTGTCGTTACCCAATACTTCCTTATCGGTACCCGATACTGATTCTTTACATTAAACCTTCGCCATTATACGCATTTCGAGTTTAGAAAAAACTTTCATTACTAATTTATATGATATCGGCTAAAACACTTGAACTTATCGCAACAGAGAAATATTATTTTATCAGTTTTGACCTTAGTCGATCCAAGGTTCAAGAAAAATACTTTGACGGATGAAGAAGCCTTTCAGGGAGGGAGAAATTCTGTAACCAGTTAGCGACATGTTTCTCATCGATATCGCATTTGTTGACGTCAAAATATTTCATATCACACGTCAACAAAACCGATATCGATTGGAAAATTGTTACAGAAACTGGTTACAGAATCTGCCCCAGGCTTACAAAAATGATATCGTCCGATTCAGCTGGAACAAAAATGCTTCAAACAAGTAAGAGTTTCTCTGTATTTTGGCCTCGAACCGACATATATACATCTTTCATTTGAATCAGTATTAAAAGCTTTATTGGCTCCTACATTGGGGTTTTGATAGGCGAGTCTCCCTTGAACCATTTTTTCCATATTTTTGGCCTATGTGCGCTTTTATTCGAAACCTAAATGTTTCGGTACCGAGTATCGAGAGTACAGGATACTTAAAAGTATTGACTCAGCACATCACTACTGCTGTCAACTCGACTGTGACGTTACAAAACAGCTGATTCTGTCAAATTCACTGAGAGCCGATTAGCGGTGTTGCCATCGGCGCCACCTTCTGTATTCTCTCCACCGCGATATGCATACATTCAGCGCGTGGCGAAGCCTCGCGCATCCGTGGCCGGCTAGTATAGTAATAAATTTCGTTGCTTACTCTCAGGCTTCATATTTGGTTATTAAGTGCATATAAGCAAATTTCACGAGTTGCTAAAGTTTTCGACAAAAACGTGTTCTTGGTCGGAAATGGTGGCACACTTATCTTAGACAATGCATTATCTTCCGTTTTGCGCAAAGAACAAGAAATTGCGAAATTGTATTTAACTGAAAAACATGTACTAAAAAAGGTGCAAATAACAATTATGCTGGCAACGCAACTGGAAAAAAAAAATTCGTATTGCGAATGGCAACTATCGTCAGTTGCTGTAGAGTTATCGATAATCGAAATTTGACAGTTCGACAACCAGCAAGCGGCTGTAACGGCCCGTCTCCACAGGCAAAAGTTTTTGCCTACCAACTGTCATTTTTATTGCCTGATAAAAATTTTATCAGCGGCAATATTTGTGCGTGGGCATTTTTTATCTTGATAAAAGCATTTATAAGATGGCAATTTTTGCCGGATTTCATCAATTAAAAAGTTTAAAAAATATGCTATTTCACACCCAAGCAAATAATAACACATATTTTAATAGAAAACAGTTCAATTTTTGCTTTTATATTGAAATATCGATAATGTTGTCTCCACGAAGCTATCGCGCAAATGAAAATGTAGCTGTCAAAGTACCAAATTGCTGGCAATATTTATCACGATAAAAGCTCTGATAATTATTGCTTGCCAAGAGCAATATGCGGTCTCCATGGGCAAAATTTTGCCTGATAACATTATCAAGATAAAAACTTTTGCCTGTGGAGACAGCAAGTTAACAAGCTGTGCGAGTAAAATTAAACATTCACTCGGAAGTGAATTGCTGAACCTGCCCGAATATTTTCTTTGAAGATTCGTAAAAAAATCGTTACAGAAATGAGATACTCTTAAAGATTTCGGTAAGTTTAGTTTGCAGGGACGTTGCATGTCTCGAAGCCGAAAATCTTCTTTTTCTTTGTTGGCACTTTGGCAAAACATATCAAACCATTGGTGAAATATATAATGATATGAGTGTGCCTGCCACTAAAATTACTGAAAAGTTAGACTTAAACGATTTCTATTGCAAACATTTTTTCCATTGGCATTTTTGTGGCTTAAGGGCTGTCTGCATCTCTCCAGAAATACGAAAAATTCACATTCATAGAAATGTTCTTCCATCAATATTTCTTAAACCAGTAGGCAGCATTTTAGATTTATCCGCAAGAAAAACAATCACGCCGTTTCTGAAATTCACTTCCGCGTGAATTTCAACCCCAAGTAATTTGAATGCAAAATGACTTTGGTTGAAATTCCCCCTGAATCATTCAGTCTCATTGCGGGAGTCGTGTCGAATGCAAGTCGTTTTTCGACAGTCGAATCGTATCGAAAATTTCATGACATTGCCTAAAATTTCGACTCGACTAGTGTATTAAACCCGAAAAACTTGGCAGCACTGCATAGTTTTCGACGATTTTCGTTGTGGTCGAGTCCTACAATTTAGCCTAAATTACGACTTACGCAATGAGGCTGATTATGTATGAAAATCCGTTTCCTTTTTTGGAGTTTCAATTTACAATCGTTAGCTGTATATTTATATAATATCGGTTATTTAAGCAGCAGGAGGATCTAAGAAGATGTTCCTGACCAGCCTTTTAATATGCCTCACATGAGAGGAACAAAAATTAGCAAATACCCCCAGGATTCGAACTAAATAACGAAAGTGGATCAGCAGAAAAATAAGAACAAAAACACAATTTAGTTTGTTTTTATTTTCTCTTTAAAGGAAATAGTGAAACGTTAGAATTTATTTACACACAAAACTAATCTCGTACACGCTTTTTATGGTTTTTTTATTAATTAATTTTTCACTAAATTAAATCAACTCTTCACTTTTTATTTAATACTAATAAAAATTGCATATACGTATATTTATATATATATATATATTAGAGCTCTTTTTGCATAACTATTTTCATTTCCTTTTGTTTTTGTGTTTTTGCTTTCTTTGCATATTAACACTACTAACTAATGCATAATTCTCATAAAATTAAATTTTCATTAAATTAAATTAATAGAATTTCATCAAAGTGCTAATTCTTAATGGGGCGGGGAGAGGAGTGAGGGCGCGTAGGGATTTTTTTTTATAATTTCTATAATTGCATAGATACATATTTATCAACATTTCAATAGAACATAATAGTTTTTACTGTTTATTTTTTTACATACATATACACATGATATTTTTTATTGTAGTGTTTATTATTTTAATTTTTTCTTTTTAACTCTTTTTAGAGACGTATGGCGTTTTCGTTTCAACCAAAAAATGTCGTGTTCAATTCTAAAATAATGGCAAACCGGTGAGCAGATCTGTGTTCGTTTCTTAAAATGTCACACTCTAGTAAGGCAAAAAAGGCACACTTGGTGCGCTTTGAAGTTTTCTCAGGGCAGATGTTTGCCCTTAAAATCAGAGGATTGCTCCAAACTACAATATTGTAAAATGTGTGAGCTTAGTTAAGGATAAGTATGCACTTTTACAAGGTTGAGTGTAACATCAAACATATATTGCAGCATGAAAGGGCAATATTTTTTGGAAGAAACGAAAATACCATTAACTAATTTATGCTTTTTCTTTTTAATTGTACATAGCTCGCAAAATAGACTACATTTTTTTTTTTTGAATGAGTGCAGTGAATTTGAAAACTTTGTTCTTGTAAAGCAAAATAAAGTATAAAATATTTTAAAATGAAATTGAAAAAAACTGAACAAATAAGGAACTTTTTTTCTTTTGAGTTTTAAAACTAAACTAATTCAAGTGTAACAATTTGAGAGTAGAGACATAATAACAAAAAATGCGTAGTAGCACAGTTGGTGATAGCGGATTTTAATGGCTGACGGCATTTTAAAGCAATTTTTTTGTCGGTTTATCTATTTTTTGAAAAACTAAATTATTAAAATTAAAGAGTGGAAACTCACACACATACACATGTGTATGTAGGAACATAGCAGTGCACATAGATATATCTACATATGAACTACTGAGACTGGCGTCTATTTGCGGCTGTATCGAGTGAGCTGAACGCATTGAGACTACATACGTACAATGTGAAACCTGAGTCCAACGTTTAGGGCAAAATGAAGCGCTTTAGGCAGCTATTAGTATTTGCAAGGAATCGATAATAAAGTAAACAACCGAGAAAAAACTAAATAGTAATGAGATGTCGATAGTGTCTTGTGATGATTTATATTGTAAGGTATGTAACATGATGTCCTTTCTTTTAATTTTTTATCGAATTACTTGGATTTTCCACAGACAAAGAATTAAACACTATTAATAGATCCTTGCCAATTAAAATATAAACTTATTTAAGAATTCACAGCGCTATTTCGCTTAGAAGAATATACCAAAGTCAGCACGACTTGGAACTTATTACATACATATAAATTAAACGTAAATCTTTTCGAAAACTACTAAAAGCTTTGCCATAATGTTGTTATCTGTAGCCCAATAGAATATTATCTGTAGTCAAATAAATAGTTATCTGTATTTAACTTTCCTTTGGTGTAGACCATTGGGCCGAAAAGAGTAAGCAAATACTAAATATTGTAACGGAGAAGCGGTTGGTGTATTGCAAAAAATTAAAGCAAAAGCTTTCAAAATTTGCGAAAATAAACTCAGCACGAGCAAAGTAAGTGCAAAATGGCTGTCAGCTGCTGCTAGACACATGACACAGCATTTTTTACACGGATGTACTTCTTTGAATTTTTTTAACATATTACTACTACAAATTGACCATTGGTAATTTTTACCTTTTTTACGGGCAATAATTTAAAAACTATTTTAAATAAAATTACAAAAATATTTCATGTTTTGAATGTTTGTATGGAGTTCACGCACATATTTGTTTAACATTTTTATATTTAATGTTTTTGTTGTTGTAAAAGCATTTTTTGAAAACTGTTGCACTTTCGAGTTGAGTGGAGGGCTGTGCTAAAGTTAAACACTTATACTATAGAGTTTGCAATTTCGAGAATTTCGGCTTAACATACAATACGACACATGACTCAGCATTTTCTAAAGCATAGAAATCAAATTCACGCCTACTCGGGAGCAAAAAGCTTTTTCATCAAAAATCCAGTTTTAAAAAAATTTCATTGTTTTTTTAAACTCAGATTTCATCCAATCACAGCGTTGTATTCGAGTGGGTCAAGTGTGGGAATGCTGTTATGTAGACTCCCGTGAATACCGTTCTAGGCACGCAACCACCGGACGTGGACGGGACAGACCTTTTTCTTCCTCGGGAGGCCCGCACCACAATAGCCCAACTTCGCTCTGGCTATTGCAGCAGACTAAACTCATACCTGCGTAGAATTAATGAGGATGTGCTCAATCAATGCCCGGCATGTGGAGAGTCGCCACATGACTCTCGGCACCTCTTCACATGCCCTGGGAACCCCACCCAGCTGACGCCCCTGTCCCTATGGACAGACCCCGTTGAAGTCGCACACTTCCTGGGCCTCCCCTTAGCTGAAACGGACGACAACATTGACGGATGAACCGACCCGAGCGCGGCTTGGTAGCCGCTACAACAACAACAACAACAGTGGGTCAAACAATTTTATTTCGACAACTTCGATTTTTTTCCAACGGAAACTCACTAGTAGCGATTCAAACGTTTGTAACCGTTCAACGCATTTGACTTTGAATATTCTACAACAAGGCGAATTTATATAAGCAGGTGTTGTATCATCAGTTGTGAGTAGCGTTTGATTGTCAAAGTTTTGTATTTAGCTAGTGAGTGAGTGAAAACGTGAGCGTTTGTTTTTTCTGCCGCTTTTCTTCATTCGGGGAAGAAAAGCTTAAATTTGACAATGGCACGCTAAAAGCAAAAACGAAATTCAAGTAATTGTTGTAGTTGTTGAATCGATATCACCTTATATGTATTCGCATTGATTCTACGAGACAGATAGAAAAAGTGCATTTTTTCCAAATATTAATTGCAAAAAGGGCGCCCTAAAAACCAATTCCCCTGAAAAGCATCGATGATTTGGTGAAATCTATTTTCGAAGCGAACAAAGGGAGTGCGTTCCCACGACAGTCGGGTCTACGTAACCGGAACGACCCAGATTTATATTTGGCCAAGGACTGTGACACCAGCAACACTCCCCAAACAGTACTCGTTAAAGGAAAATACGCCAATAGCTATTATTGTGGATTTGAAAACATCATTAAGATTCAGCATTGAGAAATAGTTGCAGAGAAGATTAAAGAATAAAGTATTATACTTAGGTGGATATCTGCAAAGATCCGCTTCTCAAGTCAGCTAAAGATGCAAAGTTACGACTTCTTCTAGCATACCAACATAGAGCCAAGTCGACAGTCGAAACTTCTTAATCGAAATGATACAGACTTACATATGTATACTATCTGGCTGCGGCCTGTCACCCAGCAGCATTCACAAAAAATAAGAAAGAGAAAAACAAAAACAAAAACGCGGCCACGCAAAACTACTCCCACCCCATGAAAAAATAAAAAAACGATCCAAAAAATTTTCCTTCCCAACTAGAAAGCGTTGCAGTTTTCAAAAATAGATCAAATAGCTTTAAGTTTTAATTGGAAACGCTAGAGGTTTGGCTACATAAGTAGTAGATTAAAAGTGAGTAGGTGCATGTGTATGTGAGTGGCTGCTGGTGAAAGATTCTTATCTTTTTTTTTGTTTGTTCATAAAATTTTCGTGATTTGTGTCTTTGTCAACTAATTGATTTTCATTTTCGCTTGCACAGTGCATAATAATGCTAGCTTACTTATTAACGCCTTTTATTTAAATTTACTTTATTTACTTGGGTTAATTCTTCAATAAGTTTGTGAGTTTCATTTTAGTGTTTGTTCTTACAGTTTTTTTCGTTTGTTTTTTAATCAGTTTTTATTTGTGTTTTCTTTGTTGGTGTAACACCAGATACAGACACAACTACAATCATCGTTAACATATACTTCTCTTTCTTATTTTTTATTTTGCATTTTATACTTTTATATCTTTTTATTGTTATTATTTATATTCAATTTATGTATGTTCATCTTTTCTCTCTTCTTTTATAACTTTCAATTTTTGTTTGCTTTTGTTGTATTCTTAAGTTTTAATTAACACTACTCTATATATTGTAAATATAAAGCAATAAGCGTCATACATCCTTTGCGGCCGCAACGGCAACACTTTTAACATCGTTAACATTATCATCTTTGTTTTCATTACATTTAGCTTTGTCTTCAATTTGAACTTCTACTTCTGCGTCTCCTTCATCTACAGCATCAGCGTCGGCTTCGTTCCGTTCATTCTCTCCTACGCTAAGGGAAACAGCAGCGGCAATGGGTGTGGCGGCAACATTGGCGGCGGCGGTGTTGGAGTTGACAGCAGCAACGGTGGCGTCGGCATTAACAGTAGCACTTGTTTTAGCACTAAAAAGGGCTGTAGAAGCGATAGCTTCTGTCGCTGGTCTAGGATAATCAACAAAATTTTCAGCAACTCTTTCAATCTGCTCCTCCTCATCTTCAACATCAGTTTCAGCTTCGAGCACATTCGAATTTGTTTTTGTGGCTTTGGGGCTACTTACAGTTGCTGGTGGCAACTATGCTGTCGTTGTTGTTGCTGCTGTGCTGGCATTCGTTGCTGATGCACTGACCACGGTCGCATTCGGTGCGTTGCTTGCATTGCACTGTATGAGGCCACTGTGCTGTTGGTGTTGTTGTTGTTGCTGCGTGAAATGATGTGTCGCTGCCGCTTGCTGCTGCGCGTGATGGTGCGCATGCGGATGCTGGTGATGGTGGTGATGATGGTGATTATTGTTGAAGTTCAAGTGCAAAGCGCCCGCGCCGCCATTATTGCAGTTCACCGCCACACCGCTGACTCCAGCCTCTCCTCCACTATGTGGTGGCAGCGCCGAGGTGCAGTAGCGTGTCGCCGTTTCGCCGAATTCGCCGCTGCTCAAGTCACCCAGTATGCCACCGATAAGGCCACCACCGCCGCCAAAGACCGCCGCTGCGGCGGATGCGTGCGCGTTGTTCGCTTGCTTTGCCTGCGCCTCGGGCTGTGTGCAAATGGGCGGCGCTGCCGCATCGCCATCGATGAGCGTTGTGCTCGCCGCCGAATGCTGCTGCAGTAAATTGACATCCTCTACTCCCATATGTGGCTGCTGTTGCGAGTGAGCGTGTGCTGTCGCTGTAGTCGCGCCGCTGCAGCTGCTGTTGCTACTATTCGCTATACCGCTATCTGTTGTGGAGCTACTGCCACAGCCGCCAGCTCCGCCGCCGCTACTGCTGCCACCATCCGTCGTGGCCGTAATTGTAGATGAGGCGAGCGAGCTCTGACCGTCGTCAGTGAGGCGCAGCGCCACCTCCAGATCGCGCAGCACGTCCGTCTCCTTCTCGTCGATCAGTGTGAAGCGTCGATGCAGTGCGGTTAGGTGCGCAAAGGTCAAATTTAAGTGGGTGTGCAATCCCAGTAGCGCAATTTCTCGGAAATGCGCCGCATAGAGATGAGCTATCACATGAAATTGCAAGCGTAGTATTTTGCGGGCAATCGATTCAAACGAACTTGGAAATTCGTTGGCATATTTGGTAGGGAATATCGACTCATCGCTGACTGTCTTCTGCGTGAAGGTCATCACATAGTCGATGTATTGGGGAGCGGCGACGCGCGTCTTCTTGCCTTTCTCATCGAACCATAAGTACGTTCTAGGCGCGAGAGAGTGAAGAGAAAAATAATAATAATGAGAATAAAAATTTTGTAAAAAGTCAAGAAAAGAAAAAAAGTATGGCATACCTGTTGCCTGGTCCAGTCATATCTGGACAACCAGATGGCGTACAAAATTCACTAATAGTTCCATAAACCAAGTTTACGTGTTCGAATAGAGCCAGTGCTGCAATGAAGAGAGAGGATATAGTTTTAGATGATTTGAGGATTAAAAAAATTAAGCAATACAAGGAAAAATAAAACGTTTGGATAGGAGTTTTGCATTGAGCGCAGCGCTAGCCAATCTATGTTATCGACACCTCAATGTCTCGGTGTTTGCTTACAAACAATGACAGCCCTGAGTGCAACTTGCAGCTCGGTTGTCACAACACATTTGGCGATTGGCGGTAAGAGATCAAAAGCGAGTGTATTGTTTACAGCGTGCATACACTCACCAGAATATGTTTCCGTACAGTTTTTTTTTAATATTTGCAATGTTTTTCGTAAAAATTTTTTCGCTTAAACTTGTTAAAAATTTGCGACTAAAAATAATTGCTGCTAAAAAATTTATCAACAAATCACAGCTAATTTTCATTTTGTTGTTCATTTAAACTACTCAACTATATAGAAAAAACTTTGTAATTAAAAGAAAAATGGAAAACTGCAGCAGAAAAGTGACAAAAGAACAAAAATGTATGCTTTTACAATAGGGGTCTTCACCAAAAGTGATAAACTTGATAAGAAGATAAATTTATCATTTTGATAAATGAACTGTCAACCCTTATAGGTTGCCAGGTGGACGCTTTTGCCATGAACACATAAAAGCAAATGAACACAATAGACGAGGTAAGAATGAAACGTTACTAGCCATGTAAGTTAAATGATACAACAATTTTATGCAATTATTTACCAAGGTGCGTTCATGAAAGAATGCCGATAAACTGATGAATATAAGCAATTTATCCCTTTATCACTTTAGCTGAAGACCCCTAATATTTTGAAGAGCTATATTGAAATTCCTAAATGAAAAAAATATTTATTCATGTCTGGCAGATATGCCTTGAGCAGGGATTCCTATCATACTGTCTTCATAAAACACTTAACTTTCACTTAAGTCTCCTCCACTATTATCTATAATAAAAATGATAATGCTGCTTTGTGACGCATTTACTTAAAAGACTTGCCCACTGACCGCTGGTAACTTCCTGAAAGGGATGCGGACTTTCTTGCTTTTTTTTTGCGAAGGCTGTTCCTTAATCTTTGCGAATATTGCTTATTTATTACAATTTTACAATATGTTAAACTTTGCCGCATAAACGCAAAGTTAATTTTTTTTTTTTATTAAAGGTATTATTTGCGAATAAGCGTGGGACGTTGCTATTATTATTTCTTTTTTAAGGGCATGCGATTGCCTTTTTATAATCAGGCATTATTGAAAAAGAAGTTTTCACCGCCATATAATTTCCATTATTTATCACCGTTGAAATGGAAACAAGTTTTGACAGCTGCTGTTGCTGCACAGCGACACTTGCGGCCGGATAAGGTACTAAAATTTAGGCTAGGCAATTTTTAGCGACAGGAAGGACAGAATCGCAATTTTCGGAGATCGCCAAAATTTTAGCTTTAGAATTTTAGCATATTTTTGCGATAGCGAAAGTTGGAATCCGCCTGCAGGTGTAGAGAGGCTTACACGGCAATTCTGGCAATAGCCTTTCAACAAGACAAAAGTCTATCGTAAGACAATTGTCAATTCTGGCAACTATCTTGAAAGCTCTTTACTGTCTTTCGAAAAACTAATTGAAAGATCTGCTAACAAGGAGAACTTACCGTTATGCTGTTCGCGTTTTAGCAATATGTTTCTTAAAAAGTAAATTAAATTTAAAAAAATGTATGTTTTTTCTTTTTAATACAATACAACTTAATAAACAAAAGTAAATTAAAAATAAAGCAAAAATAAATGCAAAATATTTTGAAAAAATTTAATGCAATTAAAAAAAAATAAAAAAAATTTTTGAAAGATAAATGAAATTAAAAAAATTTATATATAAAAGAAAAATAAACGAAATTAAAAAAATATATAAAAAAGAAAAATAAATGAAATTTAAAAAAAAAAATGAAATTTAAAAAAGACGAAATAAATATATTATGATTCTAAAAATTAAATTTAATTAGAAATTGCACATTTCTATTTAAAACAATTAAATCTAAAAATTAAAAGAAAGTTGAACTATAAGAAGAAAAAAATAAAATAGGTTTCCAAAAATGAATTGAAGTTAAAAAAATCCTTTTTAAAAGAATCGCATATAAAATTAAGAGAAAATTAAATTAAGAAAGAAAAATTAAATTTAATTAAAACAGAAAAAAAAAATAAAATACTTTAAAAATTTAATGAATGATTAAATGATATTAGACTGCATCACCAAAAAAAAGCAAGATGGTTCCTGGTCCACGACGGGAATGGAAACGGTAGAACTGCTCTTGGATACACTTTTCACAGGGAGTTCGCAAGCAGGGGGCTGTTTACAACTTCCTTCGAGCGGGGTAGTAAACGTGCCTGTCACAAGGGAGGGGATTACTTGGGCGATACAAAGCTTTAAGTCCTATAAAGCGGCGGGACCGGATGCGCCTGTTTTAAGCTAAACTACATACCGACAGCATGGAGATTTGTCTCCGTGGTGTTTATTCCTAAAGCCGGTAAGGCTGCACACACAAATCCAAAGGATCAGACCTATTAGCCTTTCTTCCTTTGTGCTTAAAATCCTAATAAGGATAGTTAGTAAGTACATATCTTATAAACAAAAAAATGTTAAAATAAACTCTGAGTATCTTAAAAACCCCAATGTGAACGCTTGAAAGTAGTTCATAAACTGAAAACGTTAAAGCCGAGTTAATGGCTCAATGAGAACGTAATATTACAACATCGATAGTCGACTACTGTCTAACAATCAACATGCCTATATGAAGGGTAAGTCCACGGAGACAGCGCTACATAGCCTAGTAAAGTTTATTGAAAATTCTTCAGTTACAAAGACTATTGTCTTGTAGCTTTTCTAGGCTTTGAGGCAGCGTTTAGCAATATAAGGTACATGCCTTGAGGGGACTGGTGGAGTTTATAAGGCAAATGCTCTTGGACAGGGTGATCACGGCAAACGTTGGTGAGAACTCGCCTTCAATATATGTGACAAGGGGCACAGGGTGGCGTGCTCTCGCCACTCCTTTGGAACTTCGGAAGGTTGTTGCTTATGCGGATGACGTAGCCAACGCGTATAGGGGGAAGTTCCCGCAAACTCTGTGCGAATTGTTGCAGAGGGCACTTCGCGATGTATCAAGATGGTCCACGCGCAGTGGTCTCTGCTTTGATTCTTCCGGACAAAGAACGCATTGGTATGCCCTTCGCCACTTGCAAGCTTCTTTTAAGTGAATTTATCTATGCTCGCGCGAGCGAGAGATGAATGCAAATAACGACCTGTCGAATTTCTAGGCAAACTTGGCCTAGGTGGGATCGAAAAAGGTTTCGAAGCTTATAGTCTCTAAATAGGGAGGATGTATCTCATACAATCAGTGCTCTAAAGGAGGAGGTGGAGACAGTTCTTCACCTTCTCTGAAAATGCCCGGCATTATCGAGAAGCAGACTGCGATTTCTGGGGTCTCCTTTCTTTGGTGACCTTGACAAATTGGGAGATTTAAACCCTGACGAGTTTCGTCAAGGATTCAAAATGGGTTAGCAAGGGGGAGTGAAAACTCTTAGTCGTGGTATCACAACGGGCCTTTATTTCGTGGCCTATGTGTGTCCCTGAGCAGCAGTGGCAGCCACATCTACCTACCTACCTACTATACCGTATAGAAACGAAGTAAAAAATGGGCCTCATAAAAGAATATAAGGTCTAGGGCAACTTCTTGTGGGCAGACATTCGGAATTTGTGCTTCGATGTTTTAAGAGACATTGCAATTTAAGCAAAGTTCCATAGCAGTTCCATCAGCCGCCTTCGCGCGGCCAATCCACCACCTCCATAGAGCCATAAATGGACCTAGATCTCGCCTTAGTTAATATTGCATTTCACCTAAACCTTTGATTTTTTTCTTAAATTTCCCGGTTGATTCTATGAAATTTTCTGTTCGACGCTCACGTTACATACATAGTTAGCTCACTTGAATTTTTTTACGTAGTGGATTATTGCTAGCATTCACTATTCCTTAATATTCATTGTTACTCAAATCACCATTGAATTGACATTCTCAGATCGATGATTTGAGATCAATGTCCCAGAATTAGATCATCCTTTACTCTTGAGCACACTTTACGATTGAAAAGGGCGACATTTTTACACACCAAAAACATTTTATGGCAGGCAAGTAAGTCATAAAAGTAGATAAAATTTATTAAGGCAATAAAGTAACAAAACAAACGATAGCATGGCATTACAGTGCAGAAAAAATATATTCCACTTTGAAATACTGTCGCCTAATAATGCAACTATTTCAAAGATGAAAAATTGGTTTCTTCAAAAACAAAAACAAAAAAAAAAATCGTAGCATGATGCCACATAACAAAAATAAATTTTTTGGTTAGTCAAATCCAATGACGCACCTCTTTATGTCATGGGCCGTGTTGCAAGCGAATGAGCAATTCTCGTAATAAAGATATGATGTTCAAGATCGCGAAATGATCGTGACATCATGCGTGTAAATTAAAAACCAATTGGCAATAAGTTTGTAAGTTAAAACTACGACTACTCTTACGGCTTATTATGATAATAATAGGCCGCCATTAGCACGCATGATGATATATGAGTTGGGATGGTAAGCAGCGATAATGGCTGAAAGTTAAAAAAAAAAAACAGTAAATAACGCTATTTTTCATGCGAAGTGATGTAACACTACCCCAAACAATGAGTTAAAAATAATGCTTACAACAGAGAGGACATTTGCAAGAAAACAAAAATATCATTTAGAAATATTCATTCTTTTGTCTTCTTAGTTAGCTTACGTCAAGCGGGATATAACGTTAAACCTTTGGGACCGAATTGATTATTTGGTTTTAAAGCGCAAACAGTCAACGACGTAGAGTAGACGTAGGTTGACGCAGACACGATATACCTTATGGGATTCGCGTGTTAACGAAAACTCACCATCGCATGGCGGTGACATTGCCGTTGCTTCTCTCTCTCTGTATCAACAGTAACGTACGTCAACGTACGTTTACGCTACGTCGTTGACTGTTTGCGCTTTTAACCTGAAAACTGAACTATCATTTTTTCTTAGAAACTCGGGAGAGATAATAGCATACGCCTGGGTGTGTAATTTTCCAACAACAACTCAGACCACTGAATTTACCTTTCAGAGCTCTGTGAATAAACACATTTTTATTTTATCCTGGATCGGCATTGAGTCAAGATAATCCTGTGATTTAAGTTGTCCAAAAATAGGTTTGTGGTATTTTTGGAACTTCAGTACAAAGATATAGACAAGGAATATAGTCTTTCCATCAGTACAAAATGAAAGCTGAAATATTGGCCTTTTAGCTCCAAAAGGTATATAATTAAATTCCTTCAACATAAGGCTTTAAAATTTGTTTCCAAAAATTCATATAAAATGACGCACAAAAAGTGGGAAAGAAATTTTCTTTTACACTGAGCGAAAAGTACAATGGATTTTTCAACCGAGTTATTGTATGGTTTCTCATGGTTTATATACCGATTGTACAAAATGTTACTCAAGTTGAACAAGTTGCCTGGCTGTAGCTGAGTATGTAGAGATGCTTACTGTTATCTGCTAATCCCGACAGGGGCAACGAGTTAAAATGATGATAAAAAATTTTGTTTTGTATCTCCGAATTATGAAAAAGCATCTGTGAAGTGCAGAACATAAGCGTGTTCAAACGAAAAAATCGCCAACCAAAAGTTTGGTTAATGTCCACAAAATTGCGGTTAATATTACCAAATCATTGTTAAAAATATCAACCAAGACATTCTTAATATTAACCAAAAATCACGTTGATTCCTTTTCAAGTTTGAATTTGGTAATATTAGCCAATTTTTGGTTGATTTTTCTTTCAGTGTACCAAAATATCGTATGCAGCTCTCAAGAAAAAAATGTTCGCATATTTTTTTCTTCAAAAATATTTTCAACAACAGCAAAGTATTTTTTCAAGCAACAGAAATAATGAAAATATTTCTTCTGATTTTTTTGGAGAACTGCAGACGGCCCTTAACGCCAAATTTCCACTAGGCATTGAAATTACAAAGAATGTATGCCATTTAAAAAAGGGGGAAACAGACTAATGCTGGATTTCCACTAGGCATTAAATGGAAAAAGTTTAATGACAAAGTTGGACATTAAAAAATAATTGTGTCATTACGTTCAAAAAATAGCCATTTGGTTCATTTCTACATGGCATTTTTTTTTTTAATAGCACACATTTTTCGTAATTTCAATGCCTAGTGGAAATTCGGCATAATAATTATTTTTAGGAACGTATTGGCACGGGTATTTTTTATTGCCTAACATTGTCATTAAAAATTTTATCATTTTTTGTTTAGTGGAAATTCAGCATTAGGATCGCAGTTTATCTGTCAAAATGTTTCCAAAATTTGTGAATTGGAGAAATGTATGTAAGTATGTTGTATTAACTCCATTATTTTCACTCATTCGAAGTAGAATAAATTCGACCTTTAATCACTTCTGGACACGCCTTTCATGCTTTCGTTATTAGAATTGGAAACTTACGTTTAAAGACTTATTCAAATCGTGACTGAGTGGAAGATCGACCTATCTCGGCAACCGGTTCGAAAACGCCCCATCTCAATAAATTTGTCAAGAACTCCCTATTTCAGCACTAGCTTGAAGAACGCCCTAGCTCAGCAAACGTTTTAAGAACGCCCTATATTAATTTATTAATTCAATATACCGGCAGCTGAGATAGGGCGTTTTTGAACCATTTGAACCAAATTCTGAGAAAGTCAGAATTCTAATATTGGGCGTTCTTCACAATTTAAAGAACATATTCTTAACCTAAGGAGAAAATACTACAGGAGTCAGATCTCAATAGCTCTGAATCAAAATTTTGTTGACCAGTGTTATTGGTGTTGTGCGTAGTGTGATTGACTTTAGAATACTGTTTTGGCAAAATTTAGTCCTCATCCTCCGAGTATAAAGTATTTCGCGTGAAAATTTGTATTCCAAATCTGCATCGGAATTGGGTTTATTAATCTAGACATGATTACTTTCAAGAACTTTTGTCAGAATACACTGGAAAGGCATATGGGCTTAGAGAATCAACAAAGCGGACCACATACGACAGTCTGACGATCACTTTTTGTGCCCGCGGGACAGAAGTGGGAAAGCAGTGGCAATATTCAAAGAACACTCTTGAACATCTATATTCACAATTGACCCTAAAAGAAATTGTGGAGTTGGCGTAGAATTATTTTCATCGGAACCTTTTATCGAAAGATGATATTGCGGCTGTATTTCAAGTGTAAATTACTGTCGTATGGCAGACCTATTAAACCGGGTGTCACGTGGTATGACAAGCGATCTAAGCTCTGAAATCATCATATGGCACCTTATAAAGTGCAGTGCAGCGGCAGAGACTTGTCCCGAAATTATTCGGCACTATATGTATGTATGTATGGTTCAGAGCCTGACGTGTTAAAGCTGGGTTATGCAAGACTTAGACTTGACTTGACTTACCTAGACACTAAGGACTAGTTTCTCCAACTCAACTTAGTTTAGCCAATTTTTTTAGTCTTAGTCAAGAATAAGCTGTGTAAAAGGAAAGCTAACTTTTGACTTAAGTCCAATAAATGCCTAAACTAAGTTAAGTTGAGTTGGAGAAACCAGCCCTAAGACGCGATTAGTCAACGTGTCACCTATTACCTTTTCACTTTGTTTTTTTGTACACGTAAAATTGTAAACGTTTAATTTGTTTTTACCAGGACTTCAAAGCACTCCGAAAATCGGTGCGGTTCGGTTCAGTGCTTCGAACCACTTAGAAAAAGTGTGTACCGGTTTAAGAACCGGTTCACGATTATCCCTGAACCACGGTTCCGTTCGGTTTAAATGGTTCAATTTCTTTATGCAAAGGATACAATTATTTCAAAAATATGACAAATCCATAATATAAATATTAAAGGCTTTATTACTGAGATCACTGAGATAGAGACGCAACATTTTATCAAATTTTGGCTATATTTCTTTTGTTTATTTATGTTTATTTTTTTAACCATATAAGTCCAAGTTTTAAACTTTGTTTCATCTAAATTGCAAACATTTTAATAAGAATTTCTAGGAAAAATTTTTAAGTTTTAACTTGATTTTTAACAACTTTGCATTTTATTTTTGACAATTTTTTAATTCTTTGTATGATGCCTTGAACAAAAAAAAAATATTTAAAACAACGCGATCAAGGCGAAATTAGAAAAATTTTAATAAACTTTTTAAGGTTTGGACAAATCGTGAGCTTCGTCGAGTAGACAAAAATAGCATAATCAAAACTTTAATTGACTCTCAAAATCTTGGCTTAATGTTGAAACCCTCATTTTCGGTAGATTGAAGCTTACACTATGTAAGCCTGTACTTCTTATGGACAAGTAAACCTATGGTCAAAATAATATGAGTGCGGCATTTGACCATTTTTCTTTTGTTGGTTTAATGTTCACAAATTTTTAATAAAAGTATAGCTCTTTATAATTTGAAAAACTGCAAACTTCAACAACGTTGCATCAAAGCTCCAAACTTTTTAATCAAAACTAAAAAAAATCTGAGTTTTTGAAATTTTGTTTTGCTGGCGTTGTTAAGCATTTTCTTCCATATAAGTAAAAATTAAGCATTTTTTATATGGACGAAATTACAAGTCGCGGAGTTGCCATCAAACAAAAAAAAATTTTGCAGTTTTAATATACCAGTTGCATGTTTAGACAAATTTGTGTATTACAAAACTTGAAAAATGTTTTAGTGGATTTTCATTTTGAACCGAACCGAACCATTTTTTTTAAATAATAACGGTTCGGTTCGTGGTTCGGTTTGAAGCCCGAAAAAAGCGATGGTTCGATTCAGAAACCGGTTCGGTTCAAAACAGGTTTGCAGCCTTGGTTTTTACACCAAAATTGAAATAAAATTACCATTAAAATAAATCAAGAATCAAATCGTAATTGTTTTTTTTTTTTTATTTTCCGTCTTTATTTGAAAGTTTGTTTTCGCTTGTCAGATGATAAGCCAAATGCATTTTAAAGTAGTTGAAATCAAATGCAGAGTCGGACAATCGACTTGCTGCTTGCACACAATTCAAACTGAACATTTGAAAGCACATTTACATGTATGGCTGTACATGTATGAGCGTGCAAAAAGTTTCGCTACAATTGGTCGCGGCCAAGAATGTCCATGTTCAAATCTCATTAGGCGGAACATTTAATTTTAAATTTCGGTTTTTCTTAACTATAAAAAAGCATCTGTGAAGTGCAGAAAGAAGGCATAATCAAACGACTGACTTTAAAGTGCTTTAAGCCAAATGCGTTTTAAAGTAGTTGAAATCAAATGCAGAGTCGGATAATTGACTGATGCCTAGGACATCGCCATGATAAAGTCAACAGTTCGTTTCAAGGAAAAAAATCAGATCTTCAACTAGTTGTGGTGGGTAAAAAACTAGTTGAACATCGATATTTAAACTAGTTTCTCTCCGTACTAGGTACATACACGCGCTGCTCATTTGGCAGATATACAATTTTCAAGTCAAGTCAAGTCTAAGTCTTGCATAAATGAGCTTTTACTGAGTTATATATGTAATTGTAAGTGCAAAGCAAACACAAATAAAGTGTAGTAAAAGTTCTGCCCCTTTGCTTGGTTTTGGCCAACACTGATTTCGTATAAACTCGGTGTACTCCACCCTAGTTACTTTCGGTAATACTTAAGACTTTCTTAGCTGTTTAAAACTGTAATAAAAAGCTTATTTTTTTTCTCTTCAACTTACTGTGTGACGCCAGCCATTCATTATAGTCCAAGCCAGCTGGAAGATCCACTAAGGCTTTGAGATCGGCTTCAGGTAGCTTACGTTCTAAAACGCTCTCCTCCAAATATAATTTGGTATCTGTTGAATTTTGATCACCATCGCGCTCTTTACGACGCGCCTTTCTGTAAATAAACAAATAAAAATGATATAGGCAATTAATAAAAATGTCGATAAGTAGAAATTTATAAAATAATCTACTGATAAAAATAAATTTATTATTATTTAAAGAACACCTGCACTAAGCGGCAGCAGGAACAACTTGAAAATATGAAAAAGTCATCAACAATATAAACGCGCCCATTGATTAAAGCTGTAAGCAGTAAATAAGGAACTAATTTTTAGAGCACTCACAACGAGTGATTTCACTTCAGTATAAGAGTTAGGGCAGCTGTTTGTGTAGCGCTAGGCAACTTGTGTAAATCACCACAAGTAATGCGACACTTTGTAATAATAAAAAGTCGAGTCCGATTAAAAAGTCAATCGTACAATTGTATTGATTATAGTTGAAAGCTCGGGTATTATTTAAGAAACTCATTTATTATTTAAAGAGTGATTGGAACAGCGTAACTTCCAGAACCACCTTAGCTGTGGCAGCTGGCACCTGTTAACTTTCCACAAGCAAAAAAAGACATGCGATAAAAAATTATCAATGCGAAACATTTTCACACTCATCAATTTTGCTTGACAATTTCTTTGTTGTGTACTAAACAAATGCTTTTAGGTATAGCGCAGTTGGCTATTAAGAGTGGATTTTTTTTTTAATCGGGTATTTCACAGCAAAAAGCGTATAAGTGGAGCCCACTGATTGATGTGCCATACGCTAATACAAACAAACCAAATTTTGTGGAAAAATAAACACTCGTGCGGTTTTTTCTACCAAAATATTCAAAGTCCGATAAATGAATAACTACTTGTATACATAAATTTTTTCATACCATAGAGAGTAGATAGTTAGAATTTTGGGCAAATGTTTCGCAGAATAAAGTATTTGATAACGTTTCAAGAAATCAGTTCGTTAGACCACAAATAAAGGAAAATTTTTTTTTTTTTTTTTCAAACAAAAATTTATATCAAACCACAATGCTTCGAAATTGTCTTACTGATATTTTTAAGAAGATATTTCCAAGAAGAACAAAGCTATAACAAACAAAAAAGGAGTGCAAAAGTGACTCAGAAACTAGACTGTTCAGAGGTTCTGTTTTGCGAGGTCAAGAGGGAAATGGCTCCTAAGACATAAAACCTGCAGATAGTAAGTAACTTTTCTATTGACCTAAAGATTGGGGAAGGGAGGAGGGTCACCTAAAATAACACGAGTATTTTAGTTAATACACGCTCAGAGAACTAAGAGCTTCAATGTTTGGCTGTCTGGAGGACCACATGTTCTATAATAAAGCTCTTCGACAAGTTTTAGCAATTCCGCTTTTTTCCCCACGGCATACTCCAAAAGATTTTTGGGAAATAAATTTGCGTCGTTTCGATTGCGTAAATCCGGTGTTGGAGAGACTTGCGACTTGTTAGGCTTGAGCTAAGCTCTGCTTCATGGTATGTTATCAATGTATTGAGTAGACTGAGAGGTTTTCCTTTCCTGTTCTTGAACGTTTCCAAAACTGGTTTACACCCGCCAACGTTACACCACCGGCAACACTGTGCTTTATTGAAGGAGTCTAGGAGGAAGAGTTGTGCTGGATCTGTCATGGATTCTAAGAAAATAGCATTACTGAGCATTTCCATAAATTTCACCTTCAACCATTATATTTATAAGTCGCTTGAGAAGTACATATCAGTACATAGATAATTGCACAGTTTTAGGCATTTGTGTATCTATACAAAAAAATTTAATATAGAGAACAGGCACATTTTCTCTAAACCTGCGGTCCAGTAAAGCAGTTAAATTAATTATTCGTACAGCGATTTTATGAAAATAGTCGCAATGGTTTTCATAATAAATATAGTTCATATTCTAACAAAAACTATATAAATAAATTTTCATACTGTGTACAAAACTTAATAAGCAATTTTTAAGCAAAAAAAAACCGAATTCAATTCTCATATACAAATTTAAGATTATCGTTAATCTCTTCACGATCCAATGATCGGACTTAAACCAAATTAGAATGGGACCACCTGTGAGGTAACACCTTTCCTTAAAAAAAAGAATTATAGAAATCGGTTAACGTGGTCCAAAGTTATGCGGTAACAAACACAAAAAAAAATATTCCGACGAATTGATAACCTTCCTCCTTTTTGTGAAGTCGGTTAAAAAAATAAACAAATTTTTATAAAAATTTAAAAATTAAAAAAAAAATAGTTGACAAAGTGGAAGTTTTAGGTGACTAATATATGATCTATATTTTCGTGAAAAATTAACAAAAACATTATTGCGATAAACATTTGCGAATATCGTAAAAAACATCACTGAACGAATAATTAGTTTGACAACTGTTTGTGATAAAAAAAAGTGATGTTCATAGATGTCACACTAAGCGGACGATCTATATGTATGAAGCAAAGTTTAGATAAACGAATCGAGCAATTTTTAAAACAATATGTATTAAAGTTCCAACTACAATCTGTGAGTAATAAACACGACCAATAAATATTCCGATCCTGTAACTGCTACTTCCCCTGTTCATTGCTACTTAAGACTCCATTAAATTGTCAATAACTTTCAGATAAGCGTATTATCCCTCATAACTGAACATTCTCATAACTAATAATAGATATTTTTATCACTAATGCTAAACATTTTCGGCAATAAATAGTCTACCCTCTCTCCCACCACTTCATTACTTCACCCAAACCAAACTCACCCAGCTACGCAGAGTATTGTCTCGACCGAGTCGTGTGCATATCTGTATATGGTGCCGAGTGTCTCGCCGATTTTCATCGGTATCTCTGTGACCTGCCACATAAAACGCACCGTTTTTAGCAGACATTTAACCACAAACGAACCAGCTGCGTTGGCCGGAGACTTATGATGCGTGGCAATACCTTTGCGCTTTGCAGCAGATGCCGAACTTTTAACTGTTGAAGTTCCTGTAGGAGTCTCTGCCGCTTTTGCAGCCGCCGCAGTTGGCGGCTCCGATAGAGCTGAGGAATAAGTTGAGGAGGAAAAGGACGATTTGTTGCTGCCGCTACTTTCGCTGCTGGAATTGTGCGTCCAGCGGGCGGTGAAAGTGGTAACTGTTGGATTAAATGTTACCGTTGTTGAGGCGGCGCTGGTGGCAGGCGCAGATGCGGCGTACGAATGTGTGGGTATAAAAGTAGAAGTGGCGTTGGTGGCTGCCTGTAACGAGACTGCAGCTGTTGGCTGGTACGCTGGTGATGTTGTAAGTGATGGTGTAGAAAGCGTGGTGGCGTCTGCTGTCGCCGGTGGAATGAAATTTGTGGGTAGTGTGTTTGTTGATGCAGTGATGGTGACAGCGCTGTGCGGTCTAGTAATGGCGATTTCATCGGTGATTTTACTGCTGGCCGAGGCGAAACTCATCGGAGAATATGTAGGTTGGATTAAAGTGATTGTGTCGGCTTATTTGGCACTGAAGTTGATACTCCTTTTTTTATTGCGATTGTGGCAATATTTTTAAATTTACTTCGCGTTTACGGTTAAATAGGTACTTTTCGTTGGATTATTTTAATACTTTATGGTATCCATCGTACTTTCAAATTAAATTTAATTTTTATGTCACACTTTTTTTAAGCAATAACTAGTAATTTTTTATATCAAATAAATATGTTTTTTTTTCAGAGCTCACAAATATCTTTGGTATTGGTTGCTGCCGGCTGTGATTCAGAAAAATTTTTATTAAAAGATATTCATTAAAACTTCAACACATCACCACTTCAAGCTGTATTTTTATTTGAAAAAATTCTCCCGTTTTCGTATTAAAACTTTACGCACGTTTTACGCACTAAATTTTTTTTCTCGCATTTTTTCGTAAAATTTCTACGCAAATTTCATTTAATCGCTTCTCTTCGCGCTTACGCTATTAACTAAACCGCTCATATGATTCACATAGAAAGGTAGTAGTAGAGTTACATACAGCGAAAATAAAACCAACAAATAACAACGAGCATTTCTTATCTCAATCACAGTCATAAAAAAAGCACCGCGCTTTGAGTAATGAGCGTCAAGAGGGCCGCGCGGACCGATATTTTATTCCTCAGGGGCCGCTTACTTAACGCTCTAACTAAGTGTGTACAGGTTGGTTGGCAAGTTCGCAGCGCACTGAATCGAGTGTCACAAGTTGAGCAGTCATTGAGGTCTACTCCAGCCAGCCCTGTTATGTGCCCTCCTTCTAATTAATAATGGGTTGTTGTTGCGGTGGGTTGAGCCAGTCAGTCAACGAGACAGTCAGTCAGCCATTCGAAAACACACTATCAGCGGCAGGACGGCGGGCGCGTGAGTGGGAGTGACATGGTGGCACAGAGCGGTTGGAGAAACGGTGTCGTCGATGTGGGAAAAGCGTCGCGTACTCATGCCTATCAGTAACTACTTTGTATTTAGTAAATATGTATGTATGTATGTACATATATCACAAACATGGTGACATATACGCATGGTAAGGCACGACTAAACGATAGCTATAGCAAAAACAAAAACGAAAACGAAAACATTCAAACGACCGTTGTACCACATGGCGTATGGGTAATCTTTTTGCGTTTGAAAGCCATTTTTTGTACTTGTTTGCGGTTTTAATAAAATATAGCGTGGTCGGTCATCAGCAACAATCACCGAGCTACTGCCACAGCACACGAATTTCCTCTTCCATGCCGCTGACCGTGAATATGCGCGCTTGAGTACTATTTGTATGACCATGCCAATGAATGTTATATATTGACATACCATCAACTTTAACATGCGAGTATTATACGAGTATTAGACGAACATAAGTGCTACAATTACCCGAAAAAATAACAAAAAATAAGCAAATCACATACACTAGACGACAAATGGACGTTTACAAGTTGTTCTAATACAAAATTCAAAATTATTTTCATGAAAAAATGTTTGCCTTATTTATTTATGAAAATGTACTTCATTCAAACCGATTCCAAATAACGTTCCGGTTTCGGTTTCGTTCTTCAAATGTTGTTTCGGTTTCGGTTTCGTTCCGGTTTCAGT